AGTCTGTATAATATTCTTTATTTCAGTCAGTGTATGCTTAATTTCTAGTTGGTCCTTTATCACAACATCGAGGGTCTCACTAGATTTCTTGAGGATCTCACTACATTTAACGGCAGTCTCACCAGTCTTTTCGAGGGCCTTACTAAGTTTATCGGCAGCTTCTAGACAACTCTTGAGAGACCTTAAAAGTGTGGTTCTGAACTCAATATCCTCCATTGACAGTTTTGTCCTGTTTCTTTGTCTCCGCATTTTTTATGCTTTCTTGGTGCACCCCCTAATGGTCTTTGTGCGCAGTCTTGTTGTAGTTAAGCCTTGATTGTTGTCGGGGGTGATTTGACCTCCAGGCTAACTGGCTATCTATTTTATTGATTTTTTGCAGAGAGGAAGGGAGCGAGATAGAGAGTCAGAAACATCTATGAGAGAGAAACATCGATCAACCGCCTCCTACACATCCCCTACTGGGGATGTGTCTGCAACCCAGATACATGCCCTTGACCGGAATCGAACCCGGGACCCTTCAGTCTGCAGGCTGACGCTCTATCCACTGAACCAAACCACTTTCGGCTGGATTGAAGTATTAACAGCCAGTGTGCAATTACACACTCTCATTGCCTCTGCCACACAGCTGGCAAGACTCCGGATGGAGCCGCTCCCATCAGAAATGAGGAGGAGGTAGAGATAGAGAGTGAGCATAAAATCCTTCCTTTAAGCTACTGAGATTTGGGTTGTTTGTGATTGCACCTTAATTAGTTAGCACTCACTAATACCTGGTCAGAATTACAGTGGGAGTCAGGCAGCCCTTGGCCGCAGTTCCTCCATCAACTCACCACGCAAATTTAGTTGCAGCCTCTCTCTCTCTTTTTTTTTAAAATATATATTTTTATTAATTTAGAGAGGAAGGGAGAGGGAGAGAGAGATAGAAACATCAGTGACGAGAGAGAATCACTGTCAGCTGCCTGCTGTACACCCCCCAGGGGATTGAGCCCACAACCCTGGCATGTGCCCTTGACTGGAATAGAACCTGGGACCCTTCAGTCCGCAGGCTGACACTCTCTCCACTGAGCCAAACTGGCCAGGGTGCAGCCTCTTTTCTTGAGATCTTCCTGCCATGCTCTCTAAATATTGTACAGAACAGAAGTATATTTCTTGGTTTTTCCATATCACAGAACGAAAGCCAGGTAGTGCAGTGTTGTGACTTGTCCAGAGCCCAGAAAAGGGCTCTGGTAGACCTGGGGTTAGGGCAGGCAACTTCTTACCCCAGCTTATTTGTGACTCTTCCAGGATGGTTTTTGAAAGGATTCTCTTAATCATCCTCTTAATTTTCCCGTATTTATATCTTGTAATCTCTCTTGCTTCTAGAAACATGAGGCTGCATGACTTTGGCTTTCAATGTATTCTCTTGCATTTTGCCATAGTGAACTGATGATGTGGTTTCCCCACTGTCTGGCCGAGAGAGGTTGGGCCTGTAATTTTGGATTGAAATAAAGTTATCTATGTCTATATGCCAGTAGGGTGAATTGTATAAATTGGGACTGTCTAGCCAGTAGTGAAGAAGTTTTTTAAACATTTATTTTTATTTTATTATTTTTGTTAATCCTCACTGGAGGTTATTTTTCCATTGATTTTTTAAAAATATATTTTATTGATTTTTTACAGAGAGGAAGGGAGAGGGATAGAGTTAGAAACATCGATCAGCTGCCTCCTGCACACTCCCTACTGGGGATGTGCCCGCAACCAAGGTACATGCCCTTGACCGAATCGAACCTGGGACCCTTGAGTCTGCAGGCTGACGCTCTATCCACCGAGCCAAACTGGCCAGGGCTTTTCATTGATTTTTAAGGAGAATGGAAGAGAGAGGGAAAGACAGAGATAAATATTGATGTGAGAGAAAGACATCAATTGGTTGCCTCCTGCATGAGCTCTGACAGGGCCTGGGCCAGGGAGAAGCCTACAACCAAGGTACGTGCCCTTGACCGTAATCGAACCTGGGACCCTTTGGTCCATAGGCCGATGCTCTATCCACTGAGCCAAACCAGCTAGGACCAGTAGTGAAATTTTGGATGTAAGTTATAGGGTGTGTTTTTTTTATTATTCATTTTTATTGTGAAATATATCACCCATCCATAAAATTGCATAAAACACATACAGTTTAAAAAAATAAAGTGAAAATCTATGTAACTACAACCAAGGTCAAGAAAAGAACATTGTTAGAACCTCAAAAGCTTTCTGATTACAATATTCTCACTTTTCCCAGAGGTAAACACTATCCTAATGCTTATGATAGTGATTTCTGGTTTTATCTTTTTAGTTTACCACCTATTTTTTTCATTTCTCAAAGTAGTTTAGGTTTGCTTGTTGTTGAAACTTTTGTGAATATACTCATCCTTTATGTATTCTTGTATTTTACTTTTTATTTTTATGGCCATGTTTTAGTTTCTGTTGTTTTTTAGAATGGTATATTGATTTCTAGAGAGAGTAAGGGAGAGAGAGAGAAACATCAATTTGAGAGCATAACATCTATCTGCTGCCCTAACTGGGGAATTGAACTGGCAACCTTTCAGTGCAATGGATGACACCCAACCTACTGAATCATACTGGCCAGGGCTGTCTTGTTAGCTTTAAACAGGTATATAGAAACGTTTGAAGGCAATGACAGAGAAGGAACTTTTGTCCCTCACTCACCCAGTTAACTTGGATAGCTTGTGTTCTTTGTTTCCTCAGTTTCCCCATCTATAAAATGAGGGAATTGGTGAAATTACTTCTAAATTTTTGGTTCTCTGAAGATGCCATGAAGCAGATTCTAGGTACTACATAATTTCCCTGAAATGTCCTGACCTTTCATAAAGCTCTTTCATAAAGCATCCTGAGCCTCTCAGAATAATTTTTCTTTGACCTGACCTAATGTGAAAATATAATTCATTCAACTCAAAACATTAAAGATTTATTATTCATTTTATAAAGAGATGCATGCACCGCTTTTCCAAAAAATTATTTTAAATAGTAAGATGCCATGATGCATTTAAATCAATTCATTTTACAAAAATTGTATTCATCCCCGGCTCCTCTGAGCATATAAAAGAAGAACATTTGTGGAGGTGAAAGTTTAATGTGGCATTAAACATCACTCTTCACCTGCTAATTTGCTAGTTATTATTTCACCTCATTTAAGTTTCTGCTCAAATGTGACTTCCTCAGGGAGTCTGTCTAAAAATAGCTTCCCTATCAGTCTCTCTCCTCTATTTTTTTTTTTAATAACACTGTCACTACTGACATTTTATTACATATTTATTAGTTTGTTTATTTCCACTACTGGGATGTAAAATCTATAATGTCAGAGGTTATTGTATTCATGCTGTAGTGGCTATAACAATTCATAAATATTTATTGAATGGATGGATGGATGAATGAATGAATGAATGAATCTCACTCCATTGCAACCTGTAGCAAAATTGATGTTTAATTCAGAAAATTTTCCAGGACTTTTATTTGGTGATTTCTAGGGTCCAAGGACTACCAACTAGTTACGTGGTCACGGGACCAGACCTTGAGAATGTGGCGGGTGGATTCCCAGATGCAGAGGGTATGTATTCGTTGCTGTTGTGGAGGAATATAACCAGATACACTAGAACAGTGATGGCGAACCTTTTGAGCTCAGCGTGTCAGCATTTTGAAAAACCCTAACTTAACTCTGGTGCCGTGTCACATATAGAAAAATTTTTTAAAAATATATTTTATTGATTTTTTACAGAGAGGAAGGGAGAGAGAGAGAGAGCCAGAAACATCCATGAGAGAGAAACATCGATCAGCTGCCTCCTGCACACTTCCCACTGGAGATGTGCCCACACCCAAGGGAGAAATTTTTTGATATTTGCAACCATAGTAAAACAAAGACTTATATTTTTGATATTTATTTTATATATTTAAATGCCATTTAACAAAGAAAAGTCAACCAAAAAAATGAGTTCGTGTGTCACCTCTGACACGCATGTCACAGGTTCGCCATCACTGCACTAGAAACTTAGAAAAAATACAAAATTTAGAGGATACATGATAGATATTTGATACGTGCTTGCTGGTAGGCCAAGTGGCTGTGTATGCCACAGTGAGCTCTGAGGTCTTCAAGAGCCAACTTCAGTATTCAGCACTTACAGACTGAAGAACCTCTGCATGTCTTTTCTTCTCCTGTCCTGGTATAAGAGGGTCTGGGCAGCATACTGAGCAAATGGCCCATGGGCTTCGTTTCTTTTTCTTCTCAATGGGCTAGGAAATTTACCCTTGCACTCTGAAGTGTTCACAGCCCTCTACGTCCATCAATGATACCTGTTGTATGAAGCCTTTCCCAATTTTTGCCCCATGAACGATATCTGTTTCTTAAATGAACCACATTGGAAGCGGGTATGAACTGCTTTGCTCTGCCTCATCTCAGTGCTCTGTCTTCTCATTCGGTGGCTACATTTCTTGAAGTCTGGAACCATGTCTCACTTGTATTCCTCCCCCACAGCACTCTGTACAGAGTGGATAGAAAATGGCGGGTAAAATTTGCTTAGTACGAAGTTATTCTTGAGCATTTTCGTCAATTATCATCACCTTATTTTGTCTTTCAAATCTATTTTTCTCGCCGAAACCGGTTTGGCTCAGTGGATAGAGCGTCGGCCTGAGGACTGAAAGGTCCCAGGTTCGATTCCGGTCAAGGGCATGTATCTGGGTTGCGGGCACATCCCCAGTAGGAGATGTGCAGGAGGTGGCTGATCGATGTTTCTCTCATCGATGTTTCTAGCTCTCTATCTCTCTCCCTTCCTCTCTGTAAGAAATCAATAAAATATATTTTTAAGGGAGGGGGAGTTTTCTCCATACAGTATCATTTGCTCTAATGCTCTGAAGGTTATTATATTTTGGGGTTAGCTGAATAACTCCATCAAGGCTTAGAATTAAAAATAATGTTTTCTGAGGCTTGCATAAACTACGAACAAGATGAAAAAATTCCACGGTAGAATAATAGAGTCTATTCTCCTTTGTATTTAACCAGGGAGAGTTGGCGATGGATAAAACCTGTTTTGTTTTTATCAGTTTTTGTCTGATATCTCTATCCTTTGTGATTCCCATTTTTTTTAAAAAATTGATTTTTAGAGAGAGAGGAAGGGAGGGGGAGAGAGAGAGAAAAAAAAAGAGAGAGAAACATCAATGTGAGAATGAAACATCGATCAGATGCCTCCTGCAGGCCCCATATGGCTGGGAGTGGGGCGGGGGAGGTGGAGTCTGAAACTCAGGCATATGCCCTGACCAGGAATCGAATTGGCAACCTTTTGGTGCACAGGACGACACCCAACCAACTGAGCCACACCAGCCAGGGCTGTTTTTCCCATTTTTAGGTGACAACTCTAACCCAATATGCTGACCATTTCCACTGACTTCTCTGGACCCAGATCTTCTACCCTTTGTTGCAGCTTTGTGCCAATGACATGTTAGATGGTGTTGATGAGTTCATCGAGAGCATTTCTCTTCTGCCGGAACCAGAGAAGACCCTTCACACGCAGGACACAGATCACCAGCACAGCTTAAGCCATGGAGAGGAAGAAGGTAATTGGTCAAACTGCTGTTTACGTGAGGTGCCCTCTGCGCATTTCAGAGTTGTAGAACTGCTCTCTGACTCAGTGCCAGAGATGTTTGCCCACAATTGAACCTCTCTCCTTATAGTCTTAAAGGAAGATCCCCCGAGCAGTCTCCTGGAAGAGAAGAAATCGGATCAGCCGGGACTGCCTCAGACTCTGCAGCAGGAGTTCTCCCTGATCAATGTCCAGATCCGGAATGTCAACGTGGAGGTGCTCCAAGTCTAATGAATTTTCTCGTGCTTGCGATGGCATTTGGTGGGAGAGGGGTCTATTTCAGCTAGGATTTCAGCTAGCAAATAGCTTTGCTGCTTTAACAGATAAGTCTCTCTGCTTACTTTTTTTATTTTCTGGGTTTTCTAAAGAAATTGATACTTTGCAAATGCAGATTATTTTTCTAACCATATTACTGTCTCATAAGATGACCTAAGGGATAAACTGATGTTCATGTGTCTTAAAATCTTAGATGCTCCAACACCTCCTTTACTGTATGTGAAGATACTTAGATCTGGGAAGGCTTAGTGACTTGACTCAAGTTACTGGTGAAGTTAATGACAGAACTGAGTCTGGAAGCCAGGCCTCTGACTCTCCAGGGCTTTTTGTGCTTTGCTGTCCAATCTTCCCTTAAAGCCGGCCATGTCCTTGGTGATTCAGAGTCATAGTAAGAAGGTGAACAAACCTCTTTGTTCACTTCACACATGGAGAGGTTTTCTCTTTTTCTTTTTTTTTTTTTGGCAGCTGTTCTTTGCTTCAGGGAATTGAGTCTCTCTCTATAAAGGAGTTTCAAACTTGATTAGTTTTTCTTTTGCCCAGATTCAGTTAATAGTAGGTATGGATATGTACACTTACATAATTATCCCATTCAGTGTTTAAAACAACTCTGAAGCAAGTGCTTTTATCCCCACTTTTCTGATGAGGAAAAGGAGACACTAAGAGATGTCTTGTCCCAGGTCAGCGGCTGTTTGGTGGAAGAGATTTAATATCTGTCTCCAGCCCTAGCTGGTTTGGGTCAGTGGATAGAACGTCAGTCTGTGGACTGAAGGGTCCTGGGTTCACTTCCGGTCAAGGGCGCATGCCTGGATTGCAGGCTCGGTCCCCAGTAGGGGGTGTGCAGAAAGCAGCCCATCAATGATTCTCTCTCATCATTGATGTTTCTGTCTCTCTCTCCCTTTCCCTTCCTCTCTGAAATCAATAAAAATATGTAAAAAAATATCTGTCTCCAGATTTCCCACGTGTTTGGCTCTCTTCACTGTGCTCCATGTGTCTTCTCTAGTTGGCAGCACAGGCAAATGAAAGAGAGAGAGGGTTCTAGGTTAACTGGCTATCAGTTTATACACCTCTGTCCCAGCTGGAAACAGTGTGGATACCTGGTGATTGAGTTTAAGAAGGAAATCTTAATTCTTTTCCCAGGAGTGCTTTTTAAAAATTATTGGGATATAATTCACATACCATATTTACCCTTTTAAAGTGTATAATTTAGTGCTTCTTAATATAGTCACAAAGTTGGGCAATTATAACCACTGTCTAATTCCAGAGCATTTTCATCATCCCCAAAGAAGTCCTATATCCCCAGTTACTCTCCATTTTCCTCTCTCCCTAGCCCACGGCAACTACTAATCAGTCCATTTTTATGGATTTTCCAAGGAGTACTTTTTAAATTGAGTCAAGTATTTAACTTTTTCCTGCTTTATTTTCCTTTCTCAAAATAAATATGTTTCAGCCTACCTACAACTTTTAGGATGAAGCTTTTTAAAATCAGAATACTTTGCACTTATTAAAGTGGTGCTAAAATTAATGAGTTGTCCAAATCTTCCAAATTAATTTGTTTTTGGAATTCTACCTTTATCTTTGGAGATTTCAGGAACTAGGAGCATTCAATTAGCTGATTTAAAATATATTTTTATTGATTTCAGAGAGGAAGGGAGAGGGAAATAGAGATAGAAACATCAATGATGAGAGAGAATCATTGATTGGCTGCCTCCTGCACACCCCTACTGGGGATCGAGCCCACAACCTGGGCATGTGCCTTTGATGGGAATCGAACACGGAACCCTTTAATCCCTAGGCCAATACTCTATCCACTGAGCCAAACCAGCTATGGCCAGTTAGCTGATTTAAATCCGTTTGCACCTAAAGACCCTTCCTGGTTAGTCTCCAAAGCAGTTGTTGATTTGTCTCTTGCAGATGGACGCAGCGGATAGGAGTTGCACAGTGTCTGTGCACTGTAGCAACCATCGTGTCAAGATGCTGGTGAAGTTCCCGGCACAGTATCCAAACAATGCCGCCCCTTCCTTCCAGTTTATCAACCCCACGACCATCACGTCCACGATGAAAGCGAAGCTGCTAAAGGTTGGGATCTGTGTTCACATATTCTCCTTGATGTTTGTATGAGAGCTCTGCTCCTGAGCATGAGTAGTGAAGTTGAATGAAAATACCAACTGATAAGATTTGGAAGTCGTCTGTCCTGACATACTGCAGTGTTAACACTTGCTATTCATTTTGTGTAGAAAACATTAGAGCAGTGGTTCTTGACCTTTTTGGATCATGGACACCCTTTGAAAGTCTATTGAAAACTATGGACCCTTTCCAGAAAAATCTGCACAAATATTGCATATAATTTCAGAGATATTGTCTATGAAATAATATGCAGCTCTATGATTGCATTTAATCTGCTCAGAGATCTCATTAAAATTATGTATTACTCCCAGATTAAAAACCTTGCAATACAGTTTCATTTATCTGGAAACAATAGGCAAGGTGTATTCTGAAGATAAAATATATTTTGTAATCAGAAAAAAATGTGTAAGGTCATTAAAAAATTATCCATTCCAAATGATAGCTATTGTAAATTGTGCTGCTATGAACATAGGGGTGCATATATCCTTTCTGATTGGTATTTCTGTTTTCTTGGGATATATACCTAGAAGTGGTATTACTGATGGCAGTCCCATTATTAGTTTAATAAAAAAGAAGGAATTCTTAACGTTTGCAACAGCATGGATGGAACTGGAGAGCATTATGCTAAGCGAAATAAGCCAGTCAGAGAAAGATAAATATCACATAATCTCACTCATTTATGGAATATAATGAACATCATAAACTGATGAACAGAAATAGATACAAAGACAAAGAAGCATCGAACAGACTGTCAACCTACAGTGGGAAGGCAGGGGAGGGTTGGGTAAGAGATCAACCAAAGGACTTATATGCATGCGTATAACCAATGGACACAGACATTGGGGGGAGGAAGGGTTGGGGGTAGGGAGTGAGGGCATGTGCTGGGGGGTAGAGGAGGCCGGGTGGAGGTCAATGGGGGAAAAAGGAGACTCATGTACTACTATTTGTAATATTTTCAACAATAAAAAATTTTAAAAAATCCATTCCATAAAAAGAGATAGTGCCGTCCTCAAATGAGGCAGCTGGCTGCACAGGTGAGCGTGAAGGATGGCAGTGCCTGAGTGGAGGAGGGACAGCCTGGTGGCTGGTCTTCACCCTGCATGTGCAGAAACTCGGTTTGTTAGTTCACACAGAGCAAATCTGGCAGAATTCCCATGAGGAAGCCCCACGAGCTGGGGATGATATACCTTTGGCAGTGTGAGCAGCATCACATAATAAAGTAACTGAGGTGTCCTGACAAAACCAAGTTGACCTGAATACTGTTCACCTTTTGCCTAGTTTATTTCATATGCACTTAATCTGTCTTCTTGGAGTATGATCTGTAGTAAAACATTTTTATTTTATTTTGCAATTAGAGTTTTTATTCAATATTATTTTGAATTTCAGGTATACAGCATAATGGTTACATAGTCATGCATTTGCCAAGTTCTCCCCAATATTTCTAGTACCCACCTGGCATCAGACCTAGTTATGTAATTAAGAAAATTTTCAAGTGTCATAAGGACCTTTGAAATGCTAATTACTCAGACTTTGTGGTATTTGACATTTTGTACTTGGAATTTGAATATTTCATTGTCTCATTTGGACATGTAAAAAAGACTTCTGGTATAAAAATGATAGAATTAGAAAATGTTCTTAAAGGTTGAATTCAGTGCTGTCCAGTAGAAATATAATGCATGCCACGTGTAATTTTAAACTAAAATTAAAAGGTTAATTAATTCAGTAATATTTTTATTTAATCCGTATATTTAAAGAATTATCAGAGCAACATGTGGTCAGTATGAAAATGAAAATTATCAAGGTAGTTTACATTTTTTTCTTTTTGGTACTAAGTCTTCAACATTCTGTATGAATTGTATACTTATGGCACACCTCAGTTCATACAGCCACATTCCAGCTGCTCGTACCCCCATGTGGGTAACGACTTCCGTATTGGACAGCGCTAGTCCAGTTTACATGCCTGTCTTCAGTATGTGTATGTCAGCTTACATGAACAGCATGTGCCTTAAAAATGATGGGATTTATATTTTTAAAGAACCAAAAAAAAAAGATACAGTATAACTTTCCCTAAAGTGAAATCTGTTCCCCTGGCTTATTATATGTATCACTCAGAGCCATTTTCAGTTCAGCCAGCGGGTGTTCCTTGTAAGGTACTGAGATTTCTCATGGAGGGGGGTAAGGCAGGGGATGAGGAAAGGAGTCGAATGTTCACTAAAGAACACTCATTCCATTACTAGAAACGTGCCCTCTAAAACCAGCATGTGTGCCTGCCTCAGGAAAGGGCTTCTGAAAGCGGGTTCAGAAATGAGTCTTCTCTCCGAGCCTCTAGAGAAGGTGGAAAGTCGTAATTTGTGTGGGAAGCCTCAGGCACAGCTGTGCTCCGGTTTCCCTGCTCTTCACTGCCTCCGACTGCTTTGAAGAATGTTGCTATTATTGACTGTGTTTTGTGCCTTTTCCAGATCCTGAAAGACACTTCCCTGCAAAAAGTGAAACGCAACCAGAGTTGTTTGGAGCCCTGCCTGCGCCAGCTCGTCTCCTGTCTGGAGTCTTTCGTGGTGAGATTCTTGTACCAACCTGTGCTTTGGTGTTTTGTATAATTTCTTCCTCCCTGGGCACCTGATTTTGTAATAATGTATCTTTATTTTGTAATTCAGCTTTGAGACAGGTTGTGGTTTTTAGTCTGTTGACTTTTAAATTTCAGAATCAAGAAGACAGTGCTTCCAGCAACCCCTTTGCGCTCCCAAACTCCGTCACCCCACCCTTGCCCACGTTTGCCCGGGTGACCACCGCCTATGGGTCGTACCAGGATGCCAATATTCCCTTTCCTAGGACCTCGGGGGCCAGGTTCTGTGGAGCAGGTTGGTCTTTTTTTGGTTCTCTGATTCTAGATTTTGGAAGAGCAATTTTTCTTTGTTTTTATTTTCTGAGAACTCAAACAAACTTCTATCATAGTGTAATATGGTCTGATGCCAGATTGGTGTCTGTGGACAAATCCTACGAATGTTCACCAGAATTATAGTCTTGAGAGTGTGAATTTGGGTCTCACTCAGAGTCCTGATTCTTAACAGAGGACAGGCAATATAAAATACCTGTGATGACTTTTTCCAAACTACACACTTCCCGTCTCCTGGGTCCTGACCTTTGTCCTTGTTAAGTATGGCTGCGATCATGAGCCTTTGCACCTCATGGAAATGTGTCCCGTCCTTCAGGTATATTGAAATAGACAAAAGATTGACCAATGCTGCCTTAGGATTTCCCACGTCCGGCTCATTGACCTTGATGTGCACATGTGATGTTTCCTTTGTCAGGCTATCTGGTGTATTTCACAAGGCCCATGACGATGCATCGAGCAGTGTCCCCGACAGAACCTACTCCGAGGTGAGTCTGGGAGATACAGCTGTAAGCTACATTCATGAAGTGGGCAGACATCTGGAAATGACCTTTGAGTTTGTCTTTAGATAATTTATTTTATCTTCAGTAAATATCTATTATAAGTTTATTTGAGAAAGATCAGATTCATTAAATTGCAACTAAGCTGAGATTTCTACTATGAAGTTACAACCAAACCACTACAAGGAGTAGTTTAATGAAAGCTGTTGTCTAAACAAGGCAAGTTTCTTTTATTATTATTATTATTTTTAATCCTCACCAGAGGATATTTTTCCATTGATTTCTAGAGAGAGTAGAAAGGAGGGAGGAGGAGGGGAGAGAGAGAGAGAGAAACATTGATGTGAGAGAGACACTTCAATTGGTTACCTCACATATGCGTCCCTACTATAGCTGTGGAACCTGCAAACGAGGTATGTGCCCTTGATGGGAATCGAACCCAAGACCTCTCGGTCCCAGGGCAGCTGCTCTAACCACAGAGCCACACTGACCAGGGCAATAAGGAAGTTTTAAATTAAAATATGAAAGCCCTCCTTTTTTCCCATGTCCTGGGGAAAGCCACTGTTGACAATTTAATGTGTATTCTGTTTAGTCTTCATTATTTTTCTTCTTTTTTTTTTAAGTTATTTTTTTAATTAAATCTTTATTGTTCAGATTATTACATTTGTTCCTCTTTTTTCCCCCCATAACTCCCCTCCTCCCAGTTCCCGCCCCACTCTCCGCCCTCACTCCCCACCTACTGTCCCCATCCATAGGTGAACGATTTTTGTCCAGTCTCTTCCCGCATCCCCCCCAAGAATAGTCAGTCCAAGAATAGCCAGTCCATTCCCATTCTATGCCCCTGATTTTATTATAATCACCAGTTCATTCTGTTTATCAGATTCTCAACTTGATTTTCAGATTCTCTTGTTGATAGATGTGTATTTGTTGTTCATAATTTGTATCCTCTCTC